GTAACTAAAGCAAAGTGTCTCCTTTTTAAAAAACACATTTAAAATTTTTAAAAATCTTTGAAAATAACTGAGATATCACCGAAGCACTGAAATGAGCAAATCTCGTTTTTATTTTCCCTAGCTTAAACGGTCGGAAATGGACTATTGGCACTTTTTTTCGGAGCTTCTCTATCTCATTCCGTCAAAATCCAATATCGCACCCCTAAGAAATAAGTTAGTAGCCGATAGCATCCACACTTGCGGAGATTTCGGCGAGATTTCTGGGAATTGCGGCGGGATTTCGGGTGAAACGTACAGTGATTTCAGGAGCGGTTACCCCCCTGTGCCGTTTACAAGATCTTTTCGACGACACCCGTTTGAGAACAATGGGACCGAAACTGTAGAAGAAGATAGGACAAAACTGAAAAATCACCACGTTAGCAAACCACGTTCGGGGATGGCGCCCAGATGTCGCCGACCCCACATCATGTAGCCTCGCCGCTAAAGTTGTTAAATACACGGCGCTACACTCCTTGTCTTTCTACAAGCGTTCTTCTACGGGCCTTCATTTGCTGCAAGCCATCAAGTCGGCCAAACCCTTTTAGGTACCTACAGATAAATCTGCAAAAATGCTAAACAAAGGAAGGGGTTAGTCTAGAACGTTTTTGAAGGTATTCGGTCTAAGCTACCAAAAGGGAAACCCAGGTTCCTATTTTTTTGGGCATTGATTTAAAACGAATATTTCCCTCATATGTCATAAATGCCATATGAGGTGTGCAATTATCGCTCAATTACAGCGACAATTCAACTCATGTATAAAAAATCGCATAAGCCGCAGTGTAATTGTCACTTTGACAGCGGCAAAAGTTACCTGCAACTTTTCCAGCGACAAATGCACTAGTGGTTTTTTCACTTATTCATTTTCGAACCAATAATCGCATTATCCTTACCCATATGACTAGTTTGACGTCTGTCAATAATTGATTAGTTTGGTGAATTTCTTGTTCGTTAAATTGTCCTGCCGAATTACACTCGAGGTTTGCATTTAAACCGAGTAAATTTGGGTTGTTGCAATTCAAATCTGTTTCCTTTTAGCAATTGAACTCGAAAAACTGTCAACTTAAAAATGCTCCACCTGCGGTGTCGCATTTTTATTAGTTGACAGTTTTTTTCGTCTAATTGCTAGGCAACAGATTTTCATTACCTTAACAACCCAAATTTACTCGGTAAAATACAAACCTCTTGTGCAATTATAAGTGATAATTGCACTGTAGAAAGCGAAAGAGTCCTGCGATAATTGCACTGTCCATATCCATGGCAACTGGCAACTCCTTTGGACAATTTCACAATACACCGACAATTTATAAGTAGGTAACGTCAGTTTGACAAGTAATGCTTGTTCGGGAAATATTCACTTATTTATTGCACAAGAGGTTTGTATTTTACCGAGTAAATTTGGGTTGTTTAGGTAATGAAAATCTGTTGCCTAGCAATTAGACGAGAAAAACTGTCAACTAATAAAAATGCGACACCGCTCTTTCGCCAAAATATGAAAATAAACTCATGCAGTTTTTAGACAACATGCTTTCAAAAAAATTATCGGTAATTTTGATGCACTTGTGCAATTACCTACGATAATTTCTTGCGTGTTTTCCGAAAATCTTACAATTGGAAGCAAAAGAGACAGAGAAAAGAGACGTACTATATGGCTAATGGCCCATATGGAATTTCATGCAATTCGGTCGGAGATGTCAAAAGAGTCTTCCTTAGTTTTTGGCCTGCACTGCCAATTCGGTCCTCTCGTTTTCGTATTATCGTGCTAACGGACGGACAGACAGCAAAATTATAAACTCGCTAGGAGCTGGTTAATAAAGACAACTGATATCGGTCGATAGAAATTGCTCATACGTGCCGGTTATCGTGGTTATTGCAATTGGAATATTGTAATACGGTCGATGCTTAGTCACTCTGGTGCGAATGCCTCAAAAATACACGTATTGGAAAAAGCTTCATAAAGGTAAAATGTATGCGTGATGGGTAATTTCTATTACGGTAATACACAAGAAGTTTCGAATCTTTAAAGAACTCAGCAGCAGTTCTTTGCTTTCTTGCAATCTATAAACTTTGGAAGTTAACGTTACCTTCATCAAAGGGCAACGATTTCCTCACAAATTCGTAGAAGAAAAGGTATCCGACGGAAGGATCAATTTTACAGTCCGTATCTTTTCACGAAAACCGGAATAACCGACCCTAACCTGTTTTATGCCAACATCGTAATCTGCACAAGGACGTTTTTTGTATGAGGTCCCGTTATATTTATGTAAAATTAAGGGTTTATGACAAAATCGTCGTAAGTCATATGTGAGTGAAGTTAAAAAAATCTCAAGGAAAATTTTAAATGGAATGTTCTTAAAGATAGCCATCTCTGGACAATTAAAAACGGTTGGTATTGCATGCATTATGATGGAAATAGTTATAACTAATTCGTTTTTTTTTTCAATTAACGTAAACAGAAAACCTGTGAAATGTAAACTGGATCTGTTTGTGTCATTATTGATTTTTCGATTTATCGATTTTTGGTAGCAAGCAGTTTTGAAGTCAATTTTTAGAACAATAAAAAAAGATAAATTTTCAGTTAGTACGTCAACGTAAAATTTATAAGGGCTAGACGTGGGACAGTGGCACAATTTTCTAAAAATTTTTAAGGTTCATTTTTGAAAAGCCATTATTGTATTTCAAGGAATGTTAAAATTGAATTGTGTACAATTTACACCCAAAGGTGTTTTTGAATCTCGTGTTTCATCTCAAAATAATACGAGTACAACTACAGCCTAACTTCGGTAGATACAGTACAAAGTTGGAAGATGTTTAATTAATTAATTTAAGGGATTTAGTGTATGCAGAAAATTCTAGTTTAAAAATTGCGCAGGAGCTTAATGCATTATATTGATATGGATCTGAGCATAAGAAGGCACCAGAAATTCAGATGTTGTTTATTCATATTATAAAAATGCTAATAAATTTGAATTAATCCCCTGACCTTATACAGTCATTTTCAATGTTATCACCCCAGGAGATTTAAAAGCGCTAAATTCCGTAAAGGAACAAATTTTTAGCATTCTTAAGGCGTATAAAAATGGAGTTATCTAAAGTTTCATCTTTTGGTTGTACGGTTTTCTAAACGCCTGCCATCCTTCCTTAAGATATCACAAGCAACAGAAGGCGAGACTATAACTCAATTATTCCCGTTTCCACCTCGGAACTTCTGTCGCCCTTTGGGTAACGGCTTTCCCTCCTTGTTTAACATCGTTTATGTCATACAAAACGATTCCTGTTTGTCTTGTTAGTAATTGCGTTTTCAATTTTCTTTTACAACAAGAACTGAGATGCTGTCTTGACAAATGTGCACTGATTGTACTAGATGTACTTGCTCAGTTTCATCTAAACATAATTTATGTGTTGTTTTCACAATCGATACCTAATTGGCAAATCTAGGATCCCGAATAGTCTAATATTAAAACAAACTTTAGATTATTCTAATACCCGTGCATATCTTAAGACTTCACGTACTAGGCCATCATCGCAGCTTTATCCCCGCTATTCCACTAATGCATTCTCTCTGTGAGAAAGGATTTCACCTTAACACTTGCTTAGCACGCACTTTAAACCACAGCAGGCTTCACCGTTCGTACATCTTCGTGGCGGCCAAAAACAGTTGCCAAAATGATCCCGTGGGGCACGTGGGAAAGAATGACTCAAAAATTCGCGAGATAAATTTTTACGGTGTAAGGGTGCGTACGTTATGAATCGGTAATAACGAATTCGGTTGGATCGGAAACGAACGACGATTTCGAGTCGGTACGTTCAAGACGATGGTAACCCCTTAATGCCGCGCCGGCATTAGTCTTGCTCCGTTTTAAAGGGGTTGAATAATCACCAGCCCAACACCTCAGCTTAACCCTTGCAAGATAAATGTCATTCCGCCCCTCATTACTCCGGCAATCAACTTACGGAATCTATCTGAGAACGAAGCTAAAAATCCCCGGCATTGTTAACACGGCTCAGCCCGGATGCCCGCTTTAACGAAGTTTTTCCTTCGAGGGATTTTAAACGAAGTTTTTCAGTTGTAAAGGGATGTTTTTTACGCCCCAGGCTTATCTTTAAGGGCTACTTTAATTGTGAGAGAATCCTCTAAATTTTCCTTTCACCCTTACGCGTTCTACGGATTCCTTAAATTGCCCTATTTACCCTCTACTTAGATTAGCCTGTTCTTTATTTTTGAATTAGTGACACTTCCGGCCCCGCTCGGCTTGCGAATTCGTCTCCCCACGTTCCCGTCGACTATGCCTCAAAGTAAAATTAATTCAAACTTTGACTTCGGAATCAATATGAGAACAAACAAAACATAACACAGTGGGAAGGAGCATAAAACATGCCAGAGTTTAAACGCAAAGCGACCCGATATTGTAACCTAAAGCAAAGTACATGATATTATAGTGGCTCTGTAAAATCTTCAAGGATAATAGCAGTCGTGATGACTTATAAGCGGAAGGGTTGACTCCAAGACGTGCTATTGGTTGGGTGGGGCACCCTCAAACCCGATTGGCGCGCCGCAAGGACCTGCTGTTAACCTTTACTACCAAGATCTATACCGAGATGTGTTGCGCTCACAGGATTCTAGTTTCCAAGTTATTGTTTGCAGGAAATATAGGATTATGGAGCTTATTATTGAGTCCTTAGGCAGGATGTTATTATGCCTGTAGGAACTTAGTCGCTCTTTCCGTAAGAGGATAACGCTCTCCTTTCTTCCATTCTTACTGTTTAAATAAGTCTCGAGTATTAAATTTTTTATTTCATATATCGCTTCGCCCACTCAAAGTGCAGTATAATAAAGTGAACCCTCGTTACCTACACCGACGCGTCGCCTCATAAATCGGGATTAAATGGGTCGGCGCAAATAGAAATATTAAAATCCACTTTCTTGGCACGTCAAAGCCTTTAACATTAGTTATTGATTTCAGGAATAGCACACCATTTGGCGGGCCTTCCTGGACCGCCACCGGACTGGGTCACGCTTACTGGAAGACATCAATATCCGCACGCACCTTTTCTACCTCATCATCATCCGCATTTTCCTCACCACATGTTCGCTGCTTTAGATAACCGTCCGATAAACACGTCGCCGAGAATTACTCGAGGTGAGTTTTTTTTCTTACACTGCATACGTCAATAATTACTTACTGCTAAAGTGGTGCTTTTAGTATTTTGAAACTGTGTTATTCCGTAGACAATTCACTAAACACGAAACACACAATACAAAAGATTTTATAATTATGTATTAATAAATACCCTTCTACCAGATAGGAGGGTGGTTTACATGCACCATGGCGTTGTTTTAAATGATCTACCTATAGCTATGAGATTACTTGGCTGGCAGTGTCGTAATATTATTATTTTCAGATGTGCAGAAGCTGCATCTTGTAGCACTCCCGAGTGCCTCTTCATTCCCCTAATGACCTTGTGCTTTGAGTTTTGTCTTTAGCTCATTTTGGCCGAGGGCACCTTTAAGGTTTTGGCTAGCCTCTCACCAGAGAATTTCTCGAATCATGGGTTGCCTCGACTAGCTCACTCGAATCCAACAATTTAGATCTTACCTTGTTATTCTACTAATTTTGAAATGCCCTTTGACCTAAAAAAAACTCCATTGGAACCCCTGTTATACGGAAATCACAGGTCGATAAGAAAACTCAAATCCTACTAATCCTCTTATGATTTGAGATCATGTAAAATTCCAAATAAAGCGAATACACTATTGTGTACTTAAATGGAAGAAGGTTCATTAACTGAACTCTATTATAATAACGAGTAAATAATCCATCTAATTCAAAAATTACCTTCACCAGTTCATATTAAAACCTTATTTGCCAATTTAATATTTGCACGTTGCAGTTATTTAAACTCATAAACTAATAAAAGCAAAATAAAATATTTAACAACAAACTAATATTATTATGACACTACTAAGATACTTAATTTACGGCGTTGGAATTACAGTAGAGTAACCAAATGCACAATACCTTCTAATTTGTATTAGACTGAGGTAGCATCGATTTCCATAAAAATCGTTTTGATTAAGAATTCCCCTAGGTCAAGGCTCGTATTCTTGGTATATGAAGCTTACAGGAATTGACATATCTAGATCCAAATTGAATAGTACGTGCTTTATACCGTTTCAGCTCTTCTTAGGTCAAAGTGTGTCTTCGTTGATAATTGATTAAATACTGCCGAGTTGAAATTTCTTCAACTTATGCGCTGCTTGAACACGTGAATTACGATGCGCTTACGGCAATTAAATTGGATTGATTTTCTTTTCCGTTGCCCACCATAATCTTATACACTTATAAGCGAGTTCTGGTAGCGTGGTGCTCACTCGCACTGGCTACTGCAATAAACAATGCTGCTACGGTAACGCGTTGAAGCGAGAAACTACTAATTTTCATTTGGGATGTAATTCAATCGGTTGTTCAGTTGTCAATGGCAATGACATCATTAGGTGCATCTCACTGCCAATCACTACCAGCATCCACACTGGAGAACTATACGGCATCCTAGAAGCCATAAATACGCTAACACCAAGATACACCAAGGTAGCAGTATGTACAGATTCCCTGGCTTCTATACATTCGCTCGAAGATGTATACACCCAAAATCCGCTCGTGCAATCCATTCACGACTCCATCAGACATCTTTCTTCCCAGGGCGTATCCATAACTCTGGTATGGACACCTTCACATGTTGGCATTCCCGGAAATGAGGCAGCAGATCGTGCCGCAAAGAAAGCTTCTCTGAACAGGATTCAAAAAAACACCCAACTTTCCACAGACTTAAAAGCGTTCTATAAGAGCCACATACGCAAAACCTGGCAGACGCACTGGAACAGTGTTCACTCAAAACTTCACGAGATCAATCCAACAGTAAAGCCATTTAAAGCTGCCCCCATGTCCAGGAAAAGTAAAATTATCATCCGAAGACTGCGAATCGGACACACAAGATTGACTCACATGCATCTCTTAACCTCCGATCCTCCACCCGTCTGTGAACACTGCAACAATCCACTGACTATAAAACACATCCTTATCGATTGCGCACATCATGCAAATACTCGACGCTTCCACACACTGAAGAACAGCTTAAATGAAATTCTAAACTCTACCGACCAACTCCACCATGTGACCAAGTTCCTCCAAAGTATCAATATATATGACAAAATTTAGCGAATAGCTCTTAAGTTAAGTTTAGAAATGTGATTGTTCCTGTGTCTTGTGTCCTTTGATGTTGAGACACATTAATTTTAAATAAAAAAACAAATAAAATACGGCTCGCATTCGCGAAAGTTTTCCCATAATTTGCAAAATTTCTTTGCCGGTAAAAGATCGAATGGCACTTTTTTTTCTCAACGGGTGCAGTTAATAAGAAATAAAATATGCGATTTACCGTTAACCCGTCCAGCCGTCTCAGTATGCAGATTTTTTGCAACCCCGCCTGTGTTGCAATTATGATCAATATGTAGCCAGCAAAGAAAATGGACGTGTCACAAATTGTTTATCGTCCTTCTCATCTAAAGGCGCCTTGGCACTACTCACAAGACCGAAAAGGAATCGCCCTGCGAAAAATTTGAAAATGGAACCGACCTCGTGTGAAACTGCAGGATGTCGATAGCTTAAAGGTTAAATAAATGTCGAAACGGTCTTGCACGATAACTAACGAACTGCACCAATATAGACAACGAGCGACAAGGGCATTTCCGGCTGACGAGCATTGAGCAAAATTTAATCAGTTAGTCTCTTGACAATTGTCTGCCTATTACTGAAACCAGAATTGAGAAATTCGAAACCGTTCGTGAGTTATCATGAACACAGACGGGCGGACGGACAGCAAATCCAAATTCACGAACTTGTTGGAAAGTCAATGTGGGCGAACGTTAGATATCCCACTGGGTAGCGATGAAATTAAAATATTTTACTTTGAGTCGTAGCGGCAACCTTTCTGAGCCCAAAAGGGTGCCATCTGCCAATAATCTGCGATCAGATAAAATGCAAAAAACAAAAAGGGAGATGGCATGAACAGCAGAGCATTGCGAGAATAAAATTAACGTTTGACACTTCGAACAACTGGAATACTGGGAATCGTAATCAACACTCAAGAAAAGTACTTTAAAAAGCAAAAATAATTAAATTTCTATACAACAAAAGTAAACCAATTTACTAGAAACGTAAGTAAATTAACACGAGTAAAGTTTTCGTCGACAAAAGTAACGTAATGCGAAGCAAGTGAATGGTTAACAGGAGTAATTGTATATTACCTGATGTTTTCTACTCGTATCATAAGATGGCGGTCAAGTACTTTTCTAAAGGGTGGGACAGTTCATTTTGGGTGTAGGTAAATATATCGCAACCGATGTCGATGTCAATGTAGGAGTTAATAATCCTAATCTTCAGAGACAAATGTAGGAAAAAAAAACACCAAAGGAAAAAAACCCTAAAATGAATATTGAAACAGAGAAAATTAATACACAGCGAATACAACCCACTTCAAAAGGCAAAGCCGTCAGGTAACATGGCGTGTATGTTCCTTACAACGAACACGTAGTGCGCACGCAATGTATCAAGGAAGAAGGAGAAAAATTATTAAAAGGTACTTTGGATGGCCTCTAGTGACAAAAGAAGGAAACACAAAATCAAATACATAACATTCGTATAACTTACACGAGATCACAGGTATCGGGAATTGAATGAATTTAAAATATCGTAGATGTTAAATGGAAAGAATAAGAGGCAAAACAACACGCGACAATTTTAAACAATACGCTACGCCTTTAGGCGACCATTAGTAAATGGAAAGTTTTCGCTTTATGGTGACAGTCGGATGCGGTGCGGATATTATTACTTTGATTGGTACAAATTATAGATAAACACCTCGCAGTACTCACAATTTTGACTTAACAACCCTCAAAAAAATTCACACCCTAAATTATTTTACACGCTAAGAATGATCAACTTCATGCTTACGCAGGCAGCACTAAGCTACACCATTATTACCAAATTTTATTAAAAACTAAATTCTGGGAACATTATAAATCCAAACTCACCTACTAACACGTTAACATAAGAAGAAGAAAAAATGTTTTTTCATTAGTTGGCCATGTTTTGTGGGCAATTCGATATGATTGTCTTTATTGGGCCCGATAAATAGGATGGCATCGAAGTATATAATATAATGTGTTTTTCCGTTCCAGATCCAACGCCGCCAGCACTCGGTCCCATAAGTATCAACTGCCAAAATAACATGAACGGATCCCCGAAAGGGTCACCCGTGCAAGTCGGTCTGCTCACAACAGCGAAAGGACCGGTATCGCCCCAAGAAGACGACATATCAGTAACAGCATCACCGACCCCGTCGCCGCAACCACCTCCCGCCTTCCCCGGCGTACCACCCAATGCTTCGTTACAGGGCAACCACCTCTTCAACAACGCGCTGGCAGCGAGCCTCTTCCTGAACGCACCTCTACTACCACCGCCAGGTCAGTGGTTGTATTCCCAGCTGTACCCTCCCGATTGGTCGTGGATACATCTGAGACACTCCTCCATCCTCTCCAATCCAAACACGTCGCCGACAGATCTCAAATCGACTGGCGTAGATGGCGCCGTGGTACGCAAGCAATTAACCGACGCCGACAGTGGCCGACAAGAAGACAGCGGCGAAGAAGATGGAAGGAGGAGCGCCGCGAAGGACGAGGGAATCAACTTGACCGTCGCCAAAGGAAGGAAGGCCGCAATAACGTTGGTGCGACAGAGGAACGAGAGCTCGTCAGGTGAATCTGTGAAAGCGTCGCGTAGTTCTAGACACTCGGACGTTTGGAGACCGTACTAGACGAAACACAAAATCAAATGCCCGTGCAGATGCAGTGTATGTAAATAGGTTAATGTAAGTCTCCCGTGATTCATCACTCGATTTTTTGACCCACGAACAGCGGTGGGGAACTTTTGGTAAGCACCTTGTGTACAATATCCACCATATGACTAGTTCTTAATATTGTAAGTAGAAAACTATGGCTGTTTATAATTTTTAATGTAATAGTTTTAGAGTAATCTGTTAAAATAAAGTTGATTAAAAGATCGTTTTCTTAACGTACCTGTATTTTTGACCCCTCGACGGGCAAAGCGAAATTCCTATCGCTGGTAGTTCCGTTTAGTAGGAAAATGTCCCGTGCTCAGTTGACTGTTTGAAGGACCCGTTAAAGATGATCTCCGAATCTTGTGGTAATTGTGATTGGATTTGGACACCAATTCCCTTTAGACTGCCACAAATCCTTCTTCAGTATTCAAGTATTAGTGTCCTAAAAAAATATAATCCAAAGTGATTCGAATACTCTCCATTCCGACAGACAAATAGGGAACTTGAAGCCTTATTGCGATCCGAAACCCTTTTTTTCCCATTTGAATCCACATATCCAAATTATTAACCGTCTCTTTTTGAAGTATTCACGTCCTTAAAGTGATTCGAATACTTTCTATCCACCAGTACAAAAACAGAATTTGAATCTTGTTATAGTGACCCGAAACCTCTTCCAATGATTTCAATCGAAACGGACCTTCATGGCAATATTACAAGAACCTTTTGTCGACTGGCACAAGTTCCGATCACGAACCGATTTCTCTTTAAGCAATTGGATTAAGAAAGAATCGAATACCAAGCGATTAGAACAGTTTCCGTGTATAACGCACCCCTGACCTGTTGTGTATTCGGACCTGTACGGATCGGACCAAACAGTACGAAGAGGTAATTTCAAACCTGTTATAGTTATAGTGTCCCAAAACACCTCCTCTGGTGACTTAAATCGAATCGAATTCTCTTTAAACTGACACAAATCCCTTTCTCTTACAGCGTTTGAAACCTTAAAATGAATCGAATCTTGAGTGATTCGAATACGTTCCACTCTCCAATACACAGAAAGAATCTGGGTGCTGTTGCTCTTCTAGTGATCTGAACTAAATCGAATGATCAGTATAATATTCGAAAGATGGAAGAAATTGCCCCTTCTCCCTCTTCCACGGTAAGAGGCAATACTTGCTGACCAAAAAACCACAGTCACCATCGCACCCTCGACCAGCGATAACACGATGGAGCGGAGTGTCGGAAACCCATGAGAAAATTTTACATATGTACCGCTTCATAACGAACATGAACATAAGTATGCCTGGCGACAGCTACACGTACATTTTTGATAAAGATGTGCGTTTCCTGAGTTTGAGTCTTAACTTTGTAACTGCCTGTTACAATTGCCTTGATGCGACAGGTGGCCCTTCCCCTCGAGTATACCAGGACGTCGACGTTAATTTATTGGTTGTCAATACGTAAAAGGCAATGCTTTCCAGTTGCAAAAACTGTCTTCTTTTCTAAGGCGTTCAAGTTTAGACTGTGTGCGCTTCCAAAAATTGTTTTATTGAAATGTATCCAGCTGGCAGTTTTGCTTATTTTCGAAGTAAACCTGAAATTATAGTGTGTATTATACCTATTATACTACTCTTATTACCTTAACTGTTAGTGTACACGTTAAACCCATTTTGTATTTAATGTGTAGCACTAAAAGCAGTCCATGTACTGTATGGTCTAAGATGACGAAATATGAAGTAACATAACCTCACATCTCGACCAAATTAAGTCAACCTTTTTTAAGATTTGGACCTTCTAATAATTTTTATTAATTTCATGATCGTAACTCAGGGGCATATTATCATATACCCTCACGCAGGACAATGTGTAATTCGTTACATTTACAATGAGTTGGAAGCCTCACTTGCATAAAATAAAATTGGACTTCTACGACTCTGGCACAACACTTAATATGACAATCCATTTTTACGTTTCCCACTACTAGCTCAGTAATAAAATTGCTTTTTTTCCTTACCTTGAGGAAGTTTGTGTTATTATCTGCTTCTAAGATCTGAAATTCAAACTCAAGTACTCCGGTTTTATTGAACTCCAATAAATACACATATGACTTTAGTTGAATGTATTAGGTAAGTACAGCAACATCGATCAAATTTTAATTTTATGTATATGTGGACATAAAATATTAGTTTGATTCATAAAAGGAAATACAAAAAGTAAATACCTACTTCGTGATCACGTGTCCCTGCTAAATTTGATACTTATCTTAATATTTCATCTTTACCGTATGATAAATTCCTGGTACATTTCGAAATACACACACCTTGAATACGACATAAAATTTTAATCTAATCATAGGAATGGTATTACAGAATTAAATGCAAATCTCAATCGATGAAACAAAATAATCCAAATTCTTTGCTTGAACCTGGGCCTGCAATAAATAAATGAATCGGTTCATGCGAACAATTCTGATGGGTCGATTCCTTCAGGAAAAATTAAAATTACCTCAAACAAATTCCCAAAATCAACCTACCACCATTTTATACAAAAAAATTCAAATAATTTACAGTTATGGACGTGGGTAAAATACTCTTCCGCTCCGCATCGATCTTATCTCTAGTTGGAAAAGGTACCTTTTCATAGAGATATGAAAATAGACGGCTTTTTTGCGGTACACTTTAAACTCTTGCACCACTCCTGTACCGGGTGACCCAATAAGACTGTTCCTCGGCCATATCTCGAGAACCGTTCGTCATATGACTTAGGGGAAAAAAAATTATTGGGTAAATCGGTCATGAAGAATCTTTTCAAGTTCTAAAATTGACCAACAGAGCGCGTAACTGCCATCTTAAATTTTAAAATTGGATTTTCGCATAATAAACTAAAAAATTTTTTCAAATTTTTAAAGAGAACCAGTTTATATCATTTTTGTAAAAACAAAACTCAGTTATTTCAAAAACAAAGATGGTGTGGGGCGTTCAATTGTTTTTGCAATAACCTGTTTTAACTTCTTAACCGTTTGACCGATTTTAACAAATTTGAATGGTTGAAAAGAGCATTTCTTGGGCAATGAGAATCGACCAAAATATAGTTAATTTAGTTGAATTCTGCTACGCCAGGGGGCTAGTTTTGATACTATGACCCAAAATCTTAAAAAAATTAAAAAAATGAAATGGAATGATATGACTTTTTCTTTATGAAAAAGTAGCCAAATAACATCCAAAGAAGCCAGTGAAAACCGTTTTTCAAAATCTCGTTTCTAACTTCAAATAGGCTATTGGGAAAATGAGATTAATTAATTAATTAATAAAAATGCTTAAATTGTATCTTATTTAACGTATTTCCGGTATTTGTCGATGGCGCGAAAGATTGTTTGGAAAAGGACCCTACACTTTTAGGTAGGCTTTGGAAAATTAAACAAAAAGAATGTTTAGTTTATTATGCGAAAATTCAATTTTAAAATTTAAGATGGCAGTTACGCACTCTAGTGGTCATTTTTAGAACTTGAAAATATTTTTTAGCGATTCTTCATGACCGATTTACCCAATAATTTTTTTTACCCCTAAGTCATACGACGAATGGTTCCCGAGATAGGGTAACCCATCTTTGTAATGAATACAAATTTTAAGGGAAGTATGAATGTCGAATCCATACAAACCAGCTTCAAAATTCGAGAAAGTAATACTCGAGACCGTGGCCATCAAATGAGTCACTTTCCAATAAATCACGCGCTCGGCTTTTCGCACAACGGTACGAAACTTTTAGGTCCGAAGAGATCGTGGCAACCACGCCCGCTTTCCGCAATACGTTTCTTGATATCGGGAGCAGTTTCAGCAAAATTTATTTTTTTAAAGGGAACAAGGGGGAGCTGAAACAAAGAGGGGTATAACAAGAGAATGGATGGGGATTCAGATTGAAAGGCGATAGGCGACATCTAACGTATGAATTTTACAACACCTTTTACAAGGGTTTACAAATCAAGTGACCGTTATCGATTTTTTTTTACAGTGGCATGTCCTCTGTTCACGCGGGCGAAACCGGAACATCACGTGTGCCTAAGGAAATGATGTCTATTGGAGCAGGATCGAAATTCTGGGCCAAGATACTCTCGTTGACCTGCTCCAGGGTCCAGGTTGAGTTGTCCAAAATGGATTATCGTATCGGCTACTCTCGCACTCTCACGCAAGGTGCGGGACTCGGAAACAACCCCCCTTAAAATGGTTTCGTTTCGGAGAGGTTTGTGGGATAGTGTTTCCTCAGAGATTTTCATATTTTGATTCCGTGAGCTTACGTTCTGTCACAATTTAATGCTTTAAAATTTACTCTGAAGCTTTAAGTACTAGTTGTTTATTTGTTTCTTACTTACCACCCAATAAATATTTTCTATTTTGCTGTGCTAGGTTCTTTTCCATTCTCCATCCTCCTTTTCAGGTTTAGGAATAAAAGACTTATGGAACTCTTTTGGTATTTAATTTTTTTAGGTTTTCCATACCCCACCCGTGGCTCTCCCCAAACCATAAGCAAACTGACATTGATTTGTACCAAAGTTTGTGGAAACAGTCACTGATATGTTTTCGAGTATGTTTTTATTTTATTTATTTATTTTATTTATCAGAGAATCTTGCATTTAGTCAATTAATTGACGTTATTAGGTAATTAGAATATAGGTTTGACTTTATAACCACTGAGGTATCCTCCACCTACAATTTCCCCGCAGTTTGTCAAAAACCGTTTGTACACCGCTGGGCTGCGTGACCACTGCCAAACCATCCACCTACAGGGTTCCAATAACTATTACAACAAATTTATCTAAAAAGGACACTCACCTCTTCTTTGCCTACTTCATTCGAATGATGCGAATTTGGTACCTCTGGATTGTCTTCGACTTCCTTACCACTGGCAACACTTAAAGCTAGTAGAACACAGATCAACGTTACCTTAACGTTAACCATCGTGACTATCATTTGTAGACGTAATTCCCTTTGTGAACTTGTGGTGACTTATCTGTTTTTTATCATTTGTTTTTATTTATAGTATCCGCGCACTAACATGAAATTGTTGACTTCGACTAAGTCACTCGGGGGGTCATGCACTTAAAATTTTTATTACATAAATTGTATACTATGTTCATGTTAATCTAATCGAGCAACAATGCAAAATGCTTGATATGCAGTTGGGAAAACGATTAAAAACTTATATACGACTGTGCACCCTTTCGACGCAATTATAACCAAACAATAGGCAACCTAAAATGCCCACTACTAATTTTTGTTTGGATGCCATCAAATCCATAATTTACACAAAGTTGCACACTTTCCCACATACGCTCCTTGTCCTCATTTTCTTCTCACTGTTAGCTTCCTCCGCCCTTGATCTTTTTTCCTTTTTAGCGCATTTCCACAAAAAAAATGCGCTATTGTGGCCACTTTGTCCGTCCGTCCGTCCGACCGTCCTCTCGTTTTGCGACGCTACTATAGTTCTATCTTAAGAGCTATTGTTCTACTTTTTTCGCTATTTGGTTCGTTATGGTGTCGAGTCTTGCACCAAGGAAGGAATTTTTTCTGTACCGCTTACAAAAAAAGTTATTGTAAAAAAACAAAAAACCGTTTTTTACATGTTCCACAATTTTACACTTTTGCCGTTTATTAACGATCCTAGAGATCGTTATAATTTTGCATTGCTNGGTTAATATACTATTTTACTCACAATCGGTTAGTATTATCTGAATTCCTAACCTTCATAGCGGTTGCGAAGCGACTCATTACTCACCTTAGCCGGGAAAGTAACTTTCCCGGCTAGCTGTCACTTTCCCGGCTAGCATCTGTCCCTTTCCTTACCTGCAAATGCTATTCATATTATCCTTATATGAAACTTATACTAATAGTGACACCGCCAATGTAACCATTAATGTTTACAACAATAGCAAATTACGAAGATGAACGAAACTATTTGCTATTGTTGTAAACATTAATGGTTACATTGGCGGTGTCACTATTATTGACAGTTAAAGTAACACCTTGTTGAATTATATACTTTACCTTAAATGATCGATTGTGAGTAAAATAGTATACAAACCTCGCTGGTCAGTGGTTCATAACCAACGCCTCGCGCTTATACCTTAAGCCCTCGGGGTAGGTAATGAACCACCTCCCAGCTCGGTATGTAATCTACTATTGTTTCACGTAAAATTCATATTTTCTTTAAGCTTAACCCTCGTCACGGATTGGTTCTTCCATGTGAACTATTTTGGGATCCCATGTTCTGTTCTTTTTACTTTTTCTTTTCTATCTAATTCCACTAATTCCACCTTTGTCTGTAGCAGACAATAATAGCAGTATAACATATACGGCATATTTACCTAAAAATAGTTTTTTGCCGCATATGCAAATTTCGATCAAGTATTATAAAATTTCGCGTTTTTCAAAGTATCTATAATTGAACATCATGTGTGTAACTTAACCTGCAATTTCTATGTCAAAACCTTAAAAAATGATGATGGCATAAAAAAAAACACAAAAATGTGTTTAACTCAAAACTGTATTTCTGCAGATACGGCATTTTCGTTAGCTTGGGCAGTGCTAGCCTCTTCGCGTTCCAGAACTTAACCATTGTTTGTCTTGTTCCTTCTAGTTTTCCTTTGCCTCTTACTCTATTCCTTGTCTTCATCAATTCTCTCTTTTGTTACTTCTACCTCGTTTTCTAATATCTCTGTATCCTTTTTTCAGAATCCGGAAAACGTGCTCAAAACTTCTCACGAACTCCATTAATACCTATGATGATGCCGTACAATCAACGAACTTTCTTCAATAAACAAACTAAGACGTACTACTAATACTGTCGGACCAACACCGAAAAGGGCTCAGATACACGGCAAAACGCAATGGCAACGAGCCAAATTTTAAATGTCCAGAGAAGTTTTCGTTTCGTATTCTCTCTGTCACCTTAAAAATCTCCTTTCAGATTTCGTAAATAAATACCGAATCAGAACCACAGTTGATTAATGCCAATTTCCAAATAAACTGCACACCTGTCGTTTTCTTATCGGCGAAAACACTTGCTTATCTCGAAACTAATTAAATTTCACCTTAAGCAACGCGATAACAAATGTTCTTATCGAAATGGCCAGACAAACCTTTCACTATAACGTGCAAATACTACCCCTTAAGACGGAATTTCACTTTTACGCTTAAGTAAACAAATTGAGGTTTGGTAATTTAAAGGTTGACAGTCTCAAATCGTGTCTCACCGGACAACTTCCGACAGACTTCGATTACCCTGCAACTTACCATTGAGCTATATACTCGTAACTGGAAGAGTAACAAGCATGTTATTAGTGAAGCCAGACGAGTGGTAGTATCTTTATCTCTCACACTAGTAACATTAAATTCATTGACTATTTTTTCTATTTCACTTAAATTCATACAGTCGTATTATCAGGCGTGCTAACAAACATACTGGGCGCGATGAGAGTGAGTGAAATAGTTATACCACCACCTTATTCTGTTGCTCATACCGGTTTCCCTTCCAGTTACGTTGTTTATAGTTCAATGAAATTTACACACCCAGACGATGTCCTTGACCATCTTTTATTTGCAATGAGGTTGTTATACAGTGTGTCCCAGATCGCGTGGGATTGCATGGGTAACTTTGTTATTACTAAAGATAGAGAATTGGTTAAATGGGAAATGTTTTGCAGTTTTGGATGCTTATTTAAAATTTCCTTATGGAAATTCAAAATGTCGCATTGGTTCGCCGTAAATTCAAAAAAACTAAAATTGGTCATTTCCTTGAATGTCTTATATCATCGAAAGTATAAGAGATATAAAAAAAAGTTTTATATAAAAATGACTGTCTGAGATCGATTCTAAATTAAGCATACGCGATGTAAAAAAAAATTTAAGATGGCCACTTTTGAGGAACATTTACCAATTTCCTAAAGTTAAATGGGCGCCATATTGGATTTTTAGATTACTTGATAGATTTTTTAATTCTCTTTTCAACGAGCCATCATAACATAAGATTGAAAATAAGATACCATATTATATTAACGGTTTTTGTATTTTAATCAAGTAGTCTGTGACGAATAAAAAAAAACAAAACAAAATCTATTCAAGGCAACAAAACAATGAAAATAATTACACCACATGTTTAAAATACTGGCCATTATTAGTGAAACACACTTCAAGACAGTTTAGTTTAGGCAACGTGTTGCCATTGATGATTGTTATTATTATTGTAGTGGTAGCTCTTCCACTTTACTTTTATTTTTTAATTAAGTACTTACTTTTATAATTTAATGTACTGTACATAATTCGTGAATTGTGCCCTGAGCAGCCAGCTTGTTGGTAGGTAGCATAAACCAACCCTTTCTTCGAAACATACGTTGTCGAGAAAAATCCTTTAAGGAAGTTTATTGGAGAATTTGTAAATCATGACGAGCAGTTAAAGATCCAACGAAGATTACCGGTCCAATTACATGACTTCCCATTATGCCATAAAATACATTAATTAAAAAATATATTACTTGATTTCGGCGTGAAACTACAAAATGTAGGTTTTCCTGTGACGAGTATAGTGTTCATTATGTCGATTTGAACACTCCGCAGTTAGAAAAAGATTCATCTGTTCATATACTCGGACTGGTAAAACTGTTAGTTTCGATATTCTTGCGGATAAACCACCTACTGACCTACAAAATGTGACCTGGGACAATGCATCAATGGTAAAATAAAGCTAAGTGTCTTGAAATGTGTTTAACTGGATGATGGCATGACATTTTTTCGAGGGCATAGTTTGTAGTTATACCACCATTTGTAGGTATTTAAGTATGGATAATAAGATAGTCAATAAGTGATGTTATAAAAATCAAAATTTTTCTAGACCTACTTATATAAAATTTTGGAGGGAGTTGTAATGCCCAAACCCCCCTCTCATGAGTGCGCCCCTGATTTTTTAAACACCCGATGTAATTATTTTCATTGTTTTGTTGGCTCGAATAGATTTTGTTTTGTTTTTTTTTAATTCAACACAGCCTACTTGTTTAAAATATAAAAACCGTTGATATAACTGGTATCTTATTTTCAATCTTACGTTATGATGGCTCGTTGAAAAGAGAATTAAAAAATCTATCAAGTAATCTAAAAATCCCATATAGCGCCTATTTAACTTTAGGAAGTTGGTAAATGTTCCTCAAAAGTAGCCATCTTGAATTTTTTTTTGACATCAATTCTAAATTAAGCGTATCAAGGACAGTCACTTTTATATAAAACTTTTTTTTTATATCTCTTATACTTTCGATGATATAAGACATTCAAGGAAATGACCAATTTTAGTTTTTTTGAATTTACGTCAAACCTATGCGATATTTTGAATTTCCATAAGGAAATTTTAAATAAGCATCTAAAACTGCAAAACATTGCCCATTTAACCAATTCTCTATCTTTAATAATAACAAAGTTACCCATGCAATCCCACGCGATCTGGGACACACTGTATACTCATGTTAATTATCCATCATAACATTCGTAATAAATCATTTCTATATGGCATATTATATAATTTAATTATACATTACTCTTCTAAAAGTAGTGATCCTGATCATTGCTCTAGATGTAGGTACAATAAAGTCTCCATAAAAGATGAGCATACGTTCACCCACTATCTAATGATTTACTCAGGTTGAAACGTTAAATAATTTAAAACATGAAGGAAAGTGGGGGAAGAATTAGTATGTGAATTTGCCTTCCATTTGATATATGATGTTATAAACAATTTGCATTAAATTGCCATAACCTACTATTAAAAGTGGAACGTTCATTTATGAACACCCGGTATATTATAAATCCGGTATTCATTCCTAACCTGGTTTAAGAACAAAAGTTAATTGGATTCAATCATTTTTCCAAATTTCTGTTTCACAAGTATTCACTCGGATTGTCCAAATTTACAAGAGAAAAGCAGTTTACTGGGTTCCTAAACACAAGTAACAAACTTACAAAAACTTCAAATACCACAGAAGGAAACAGAAAACGTACTTCTTAAACAAACTTAAACAAAAAATTATTTGAATAATCTTCAAGGCGTGCGGATTTCTTTCTATTGACTTCTCTGATATCCAAAAACGAAATGGGTCGACCATAAGTTGTATTACGAAGACTTGACTCATTCAGAACTGGAACTTTCACAAACTACAACGACGTATATTTGAAAAGCATCAAATAAAAGTGATTGAACTAAATACTTTCAATGACTCCAGTACCGTAAACTGTGAGAAAGCCTATAATGTGAGCGTTTCCGAGCGTACCTACTTTAAAAACACTTGTCTTATCACGTCATCGAAATGTTATCATTTTTTGCCTTATCCAAACCCATTAACTTTACATACATCTGTGCATTTTACACAAAAGGGATACCTAACAAATAAATTGTAAACCTTCAAACCTGATAACTCACTTTTTTGTAAACTGGTGGCTTCTGCAGGAGATAAACACACTCTCTAAAAGTGACTAGTATATACACAGGGAGGAAGTCAAACGCTGTCGATACAGAACATTTATTTTCAATACAGTGCACATAGCAATTCCAAAAAACGATTTAGTTCAACCCAAACGCAAGTATACGATCACGATTAATTTGAAAATAAATATAGTACTGATTGAAATACGTGACATTGTCAAAATTCGAGACGACATTCCAATACATCGGATACATTCGAGTGGTTGCCGTCTGTAGCTGTTGGAGACGTTGCATTGGATCTGAGGTCGTCTGGTAGATGGACGTTAGCGTTGCTGCGAGCTGATTTTGAACATTGTAGGGCAAATTTGACTTCAAGACCACTGCCGGACCTTCAACCTACGGTTTTTGAGCGGGTATTAAAAATTAATTTAATTTAAGACTCACATTAACTGTCGCTACTACATCGTCAAAATAATCGGAGTGTATGACCTTCGGTTTCACTTCCACCTTTTCACCATTTGCAACACCAAGAGCTAGTAGCACTGAAATCCACGCTATAGGAACTTTAGCCATCGTTTTGTCAACAGTTCTCTAATCGACCCTCTTAAATATATCCGTTCTTATCGATGTTCTTATGTGTACATAAACGTACCATTGTAAATTCAATAGGAATGTGCAGTTACTCGCTGTGTCGGGATGCTTTTTTGGGCTATGACGTGTACAAGGTGAAATTTTGGGAGTAACGCCTATAAATTGATTTCAAATGATATACGTTGTTTTTGCTTAAAACACAATGCTTAAAGGTCGACGCCACTGGGTGGGGTCAAACGTTCAATAAGATTATAATTAGTCACGATGTGATTATTTCTGTTTTGTACTATGTTATCTTCATTAGCCCTTATAAGTTCTAAAGAACCATTTTAAAAAACTTGAGGTAGCCAAAGCGCGGAGACCTCAAACATCCACGGTGGTCCAAACATCTCAAATTTGTATATCGAAGGAGTAGTCTAGATTCGCCAACTAGATTCCACTTGTTGCATCGAGTTAATACTAATAACTCATAAGTTGAATAGTAAAAAGGCTCTAAACTCCCTCCCATTCACGTTTAAAATTAATAAGGTTGTCATCATGCGTCATCATCAGGCGGATGTAATAAGCTTGTTTGGGTTATTATCTTTTAGAATAATTAACAAAGTGTGTAACGGGTGATCGCTTTTTTTCGAATCTGTATTTGGGTCAGCATAGGAAAATTTACACATGTGCCGCTTCATAGCGAACGTGACCAAAGGTATGTCTGGTGATAACCAGCGATCGCGGTTGCCACGATCTCTTGATTTCTTCCGTTTTGTTTAAAACCAAGCACGTGCCACAAATGCAGGTTTACAATTCGTTTATAAGGGTACACTAGTCGAGATCGTTTCGTTCAGAAAAGAAGCCCCGTTTCGGTATTTCTACCGGGCGAGATTCAAATAACGTGGCAGAGTGAAAGAACCTTGCTTCAGTTCTCGAGTCGAAACGTATTATTTGGGTGCGTTAAAAAAAAGAGATTCGAAGACGAATTTGCGAGCGATCGCGTACATGTTTGTGCATGAAATTTTGCCATTTTGTGTACGAGAAATTTTATTTCGTGTATTTGCGGCGAAGAAAAATTCAAAGGCCATCACGCACAATCCTTTCGTGCGAGTTCATATAGTCGCCGTAACTAGTTTTCTTTTGAGTGAAAGTACAGCAACCAGCTATTTGTTGCAAAATACCAAGCGCGTATTTTGAAGCGTTAATTGGTGCCAAAGTGAAAGTTACCTGTAACCTTAATTTTGCGTTAGAATGATAGATTTAGCCTAATTTGAAACAAGACCGTTTATTTACAAGTGACAAAATTTACGCGAAGAAACATTTTCGAGTAGGGGCACTTTTCGAATATAAAAACGGGATTCAATAGACTGATATTAAAATTCATTGTGATAAAAAGAGAAAATTATTTTTCGAATTGTTAACAGTAACGACTAATTAAAAGTGTTTTAAAGTTTGATTAACGTCATTGAGAACGCCTTGTGCGATAAATAAAATAAACGGCAGGGAATTGAAGACCATTAATTGGTGCATTTACCCGCATAAAAAACTAGTTAATAAATTGGATAAAATTAATATCAACACATCGGAATATTGTTATTTTATTCCTTTGCATAATCACGATCTCGAGTACTACTTCGGCGTTGCGCACTATGCCAAAGAATCTAGAAGGTGGCGTTAATTAAATCTCAACGATGCTACTTAGATGTTACAGGGGTTCTCGGATACGTAATAAAACCACGCACAATAAGAATGCTACGTAATAGAGAATATAAATCGTTACACTGTACCATTAAATCGGTGTGTTTCCATATTTCTCAATGGAGCAGCACCTTCCAAGGAACGGAAGGATCAATTTATTGTGACCTGAAAGAGATCTCATCCAGGTCAATCATTACTGTAAGATAATTTAAATATTTAATTTGTATAACGTAGTGGTCAGGAATTTGCATATTAATTTTGTTTTAATATTCCTAACGAAATCGACCTATGAGAACAATTTGCATTAACAGACTTTCTATTGTACTTATTGATAAGAATCGAATACAAACAAAGGATTTGGATTTTGATTCATTGATTGGGAAATTTTCATTTAATTTCAGTGATACCATTCCTTTGGTCGGATTAAAAATGTATTTAGTACTCAGAGGTGGTGTGGTAAAGATAAAATATTTAGATAAAAATCAAACTTAGTATTAGCACGTAATCACGAAGTAGGCATGGATTTCTTTTTATGAGTCAAACCAATAATATACATCCAAGAACGTGTAAAGAAAAATGGAACTTGAGCGCCTATGTTTTTGTTCTGAAGTCGCTTGCGTATTTACTCGAGTTCAATCAAACCAGAGCATTGGATTTTGAATGTCAGATTTTAAGAAGAGAGAAGAAACCAAACTTCCGCAAGATGAAGAGCACAAGAACATTCTTTTTACTGAGCTAGGTGAATTAAAAGTTAGTTGTCATCTTAAAATTTTTTCCCGTTTTTGTCAGTGCCGTTAACTTGTGTAAGTGAGGTTTTCGATTTGTAAATGTAACTTTAGTAATTAGAAGCGTACCCGGTCCCTGCTGAAAGTAGTAGTTAGGATTCTCGAAAGGTATTAAATCTACTTAAAACTGAAAGAAAAAAGAAAGGGAGGTTTTTCTTAAAATCTAAGACCTAACTCAGTAATAATTGAGGACTTTCTTTAAATAACTTTCATTTATTGCAAACGGGGGATCTGTAAGTTGCCTACTGCAACGAATTTCTAGAGCGCCATCGAGGTGCCGTCAGGTCGATAAGGATTAATCACCGGAAGGAATGAAAGTGGATGTGACGCATTCTTTCCGGGAAAGTGATCTTTACTCTAAAATGCTCTAAAAGGCTTTTGTTTGCTATATAAGCAAATTGAGTCGTGTTTAGTGGATGCCTATTTCAAAAATCGGGCTTAGTTAAAAGTTATTTAAAGAGAGATTGAATCCCACCAATTTCCAAAGACATCTGTTGTGTAAGTTAGTGGTATAATAGATATTTTCTTGCTAAAGCGTTTGTGCAAGCTAATTTGTGACTACATGTTTTGATACTTTTTAATAATAATGAAATACTTATAGGTGTTTATTAAATAGACGCAGTCGGCAGTTTAAATTTAAATCGGCCTATGACCTCTAGATTTGTTTTTACGTTATGCCCCCTAATGTTTTGTGTTCGATGTTAGTCATTAAAAAGATATCGCCTAATTATAAAAACATAATGTGACCTCCACAACTCGAAACCTATAAATTAATGATTAAACTCAAGAAAATCCCCAATTCGCAGTGGCGTAGGAAACGTCCAAAGCTTGATCCTATTTTTCCCCGATCCTACAAAATCATCTAAACCGTAATAAGCTTAGCAGTAACGACCTTTGAAACTTCCTGTTTATCAATTATGACGATTTGTGGAATATGGATAGCATTACTTAATCCTGAAACGAATCGTCAATCCGCTCATTAACATCAGACACAAACAGTGCATCGATCTCTCGTAAAACTTGCCCATGAAATTTTAAACTGAAAACTGTTGAAGTGAAAAAAGAAAATCCTCAACATACTGTCCAGCGTAATCCGTTTTGTATATAGAAATACAAAAATTTAGCGACGGCAAATTAAAATTGGTTGCGACCCTAACAACAATAAATTCAAAGAACCTTGAGGCGGGTTAGGTGAAAACAAATTAATACACATAGTTACGGATTTAAACGCATAAAATAACATTGTCAGTAAAATCGCGACACGCGCTCTACGACTGCGCCACCAATATCCATGAATTTCGATCGATGTCGCAAGTGCGAACTTATCTATTGATATCTTTGATGTGGTGGAAAGAACTTCATCAACAAAACGGATCTTGCTCGAGGAAGATTTTCATCAAATAAGAGCTCTATAGAGATTGACGCCACGTCAAACTAATACAGACTAGAACGTGTGTTTTAATAGGACTTTACTGGAGGAAGTTAATTGTTGGTTTTTTTATCTGAATACATTTTCAGTTTTTAAACCTTCTCTCATTTAGGTACAAAATTATGTCAACGCCTTAAGGTAAGTCATAAGTTTTCAACGTAGTTATCCCAAAGACATAAAATAAAAAAAGTAATAATGGCTGTAAAAGTAATTACTTAGGGACCTATTATACTTTTTATCAGATTCTCGAGGTCAAAGAGTAATTAAAATAAATTACATCCCATCCAGAGTAATGAGATACCTAAGATTAATTTTTGTTCGATTGAGCTAGTCGGTGCAATAACGTTTTGATACATTTTAAAGCAGTCCGTTTTGTAACAAACAGCTACAAAGAACAGCCGTGAACCACTGGAATTGTGCAAATGAGTACCTATGAATTGCTATGCGCATTGCCAACTTTTGTCTTGCTAAAAAATGGAACATTGATTCTTCTGTTACAGGCCGTGGATGCACAAGAAGGGTTTTACCTTAGCAATTATACTTACTATGTAATTAAAAATTTCTTAAATTATTAATGAAGGTAGGTATCGCTTCGGTATTCAAAGAATGCCAATTCTCTCTCGCCTCATTGTTTCTTATGATCAGGAATGCTGTGGATTTTTTAAGAACTACTTAAAATCTAACCCCCCCGACACAGTAAATCGTTTTTATATCCAATTTTCAGTTCATTCAATCACAACCCTTTCTTTTATAGACAAAGAATTTAAATACGCCCCTAAAGACCCACGACACTTAAAATAATTGTTATTTTCTCTTAATGCTTAGACTGTCGATTAAAAGAAGGGGGATTATAAAAGTTCGCTTATATTTCGCTAAAAGTGAGAGTGTTGTAATTGTTTTTTTTTCCTCGTCGACTGCTAATAGTTACCGTCTCGTTAAATATCCCAGTCGAATTGCTTATGCCGGTATTCATTGGGATGGAATTTGTCAATAGGGATTTTTGCGCCTAGAAATTTCGTTAAGGTAGCTAAAATAAATTGTTGAAATAATTTACGGCAAAAGGGAGTGGGGCCAATCAAGAAATTGAAGTTTCAATAAAAGCCATCATTAATTCTCAGTT